TCCCATATATTGCTTTCATGACCTTAAGGAGAACGTCTGGCGGCAATCCCATGATTGCAGGTGGGTACAAGTACATTGGTTCCAGCAGATCACTGTAGAGAAAAGCCGCCGCTATATCACGAAAAACGATAATCCAGTTATTTCCCGCAGCGATACTTAGTAGCAAGCGGATATTATCCATCGACGTAGTTGGTGCAAACAACTCCTCCGACGTCGGTAAGAGATTGCCCATTACCACCAGCCTCGCCTTGTATTTTAGAATTTTCCCTTGTAAATCTTTCTTGGTTGTATACACCCACATGCCGCGTGCTATGATTTTTCCTCGTGTTTCTTCAGAATCCCTTGAAACTATGGTCCAAACCTTGCGTTCCTCCATCTTGTGAATTTCAGCTCGTTCAGCCGCTTCCCACAGCTCCCTGTCTGGACGCATCAACATCTCTTTCCTATTCCTAGGATCAGCTGTCATGTGATTCGAATCTTGCACGGATGGCAAAGCTCGCGACAGAAATGCTGCCGTCAACTTTATAGCCTCCCAGACTGGCACCACGAGCGCCATGTTGGTGACAAGCATTCGTGAGTCTGGAAAACACTCTGTTGACTCACTGGGTCCAAGATCCATGTACTCTGGATCATATGCCACATCGACGTCTTCACCTGGATCAGTGAGTGATACAAGTTCATTCCACCTTTCTCGTCTCAAAGGAATCCATCGTGCAGATTGTTGAGAAGTAGCAGTCCGATTGCCCTCGTCTAGCACAAAGAACACCTCTTTTCCACCGCCGTTGAGGACTTTGCCAGGTACCAACTGAGATGACATGGGAGATTTTCTGTGCAGAACAAAAACATCTGGATTTCCTCGAACTGTTTTCTCCACCAGTGTCGAAAGAATGTTGTCCCCCTTTTGTGGAAACGCTCGAAAGAAATATTCATTGCAACCCTCCAATTCGAAAACATCCTCTGGCACATCTGACTTCTCCTTATCCAACACAGGTCACGGATATTGTCTCTGTGTCTGACATTGCTATCAAAGCTGCCGTGCCAGGAAGGAATCGAACCTTGTCACTATCAGGATTGAGTAGCACCCAATATTTATCATCAAACGTAATTCGCACCAAAAATTCGTCATTCTTGAATACCACTTGAGTAACAACCCCCTGCCTCAGCTCTCCGGTATCCATTACAACCTCCGCACGTCGATTGATGAAACGTGTTTCTGCTTCTCGCCGCTGCTGACGAAAGTCTCTTCGAGTCCGACATGGACGCGCCTCTGCAGTACATCCATCCTCCGTATCCACTTTACGTTGTACCAGCACATCAGGCTGATAATCCTCGTCACTATCGTGCCAAGCCTCCTCGTGAACAGAATCGTCGTGAACAAAATCTTCGTGAACAAAATCCTCGTGAGCAGAATCCTCGTGAACAGAATCGTGCACTTCCTCCTCATCCGATGAATCGATCGTCCTGGGTCGCTTTCTTCCCCCTCGCTGCTTGGTGGGAACCACAGACGTATCAGGCTCATCCTTAACAAGTGTATCTCCCAATGGATGACTGTCTTGTAAAATGTTGTGCTTGACAATTTCCTCAGGGTCCTCTTGCCAATTAACTCTGCACGCACGACGAAAGGGAAAGAAGAATTCATCACATGTCAAATTATTCGTATGATAAATTTTATCTTCTTCGATATTCCACACCAGATATCCCACCGTGTATCCAGGAAAGGCGTTTGCGTTGCCTAAGAGTATCCCTTGCATGGCTGGATCGTCTACCTTGGATGTCCGTACACTGTTCTTGAAAAACACCATGCATCCAAAGGTTCGTAACGAACGAAAATTAAACATTTCGCCGTTGTAAATCGTGTATGGGGACAAGTTCCCAAAGTTCCTGTAACTGGGGAGGGCGTTGTAAATGTATGCTGCCTGTACAATAGAATATTCCCATTTCTCAAGAGGCAGTCCACTCTGTTTCAACAGTGCTCTGTTTGTTGTAGTAACCGCTCTTATCCCTCTTTCAGCGCGGCTAGCGAATTGTGTACTTGACTATACTCAGGAATTCTGTCCCACTTCAATCCTGTCTTGACAATGAATGTTTCCATTTCAGACGAAAGAAACTCAGTCCCGTTATCAGAGATTATTCGTTGAACTGCATGTCGCCGTACATTCTTCTCTTCCTTCCTGAGCATCTCGATGAGAATTGAGGCTGTCTGACTTTTGTGTTTCATAGGACGAACGGATATGAACCCCGAAAACGCATCGACTATTATGAGAAAATACCTATAACCTGATGGTTCTGAGACCGTTATCATGTCTTTCAAATCGACATGCCAAAGCGAATTGACATCGTCGGCTCGATCCAATGCTTGTGCACAGGACGTGATACGAATTTAGCAACCGTGGCAGTCACGCGGCCGGGCGTCCGACCGGCGATCGCCGCGCGCGGCGTGCGGCAGTGCCGCGTGTAGTCCTCACTCTCGCCGGCCCGGATCCGAGGCCGGCCCGGAGCGCCGCCGGCCCTGCGGCGGCCGGGCCCGGAGTCCCGGCGAGTTCAAAGTTTTAACCGTCACTGAGCCTCAACCTTCAGGGGCTTCTGAGGAAAAAAAAAGTTTGAGGGTTCCAGCAGCAGTGAATTCATAATAATATAAAACCTGAGTTATTTGGCTCATAAGTTGATTTGTACCGGTGAGGTGAGTTTTTGTATCAGAATGGTCCCCACATTGCACTGGAGGCAATATAGATATAATCTTTACTGATATGAAAGTTTATAATGGATATGCTACCCGATCGTATTTCTGGGGGAAGTGACAAGATTGGAAGGGAGGGGTAGTTTTCGAAGAGGAAAATGGGGGTGAAATAGATACGAGGGGTGCACATGCAAAGATAGGGTTAGAAGGCGGGCGATAGGGGACGGTAACCCTAGTATCAGACCACCCCGTTTAATTCTTTAGATAAGACCGGTGATGGGCTCGAAGGAGATTTAATGGGGGACGAGACCATTGTTTTCTCCCTGCCCTACCCCATTAGGCAGGCTTTCGATCAGAGAAACACGGGTGGTGAATTCTCGGATGGGGTGGTCAGGAAAACGGACGTGTGAGTGGCTGAATTGGTGGGTGGGGATGTGTCTGGGGTTCTCTGAAGTTAGAAAGAGGGGATCTATCGTCTAATTACTTAGAAAGCGTAGAGAGAAAATCTCCTTGCTAGGCTGCAAGATTACAAAGGGCTCTGCCCAATCACTTTTCAAGATAGGTAGGGTATGATCAGTTGATCAAATGGGTATGCAAGGATTTGGGGTGGGTACAAAAGATCATATGGGTGGTGCAGGAGTTTGGATGGAGAAGAAGGGGCTTGGTTAGTTATAGCCAAAAATAAAGGATCAGAAGCTGAGCGAGGGGGAGAGGTCCGCACTCAATTTCTCAATAGATAGGCCCTGAGGGGTAGGGTGATGCAAAATTGATGGGGGGTTGTGATCCAAATCATGGGGTGGATCGATGGGGGTAGGGTGGATGGGTTGTATTCGGGGACGTTACATGGTGGGATCGAAACTGAAGCTTTTCGTGATATTCCTCACACCCCTGTCTACAAGGATTCAATAACGGGTTCTTGAATAGTCGTAGAGAACAGGGAAGTGAAGCATAGGGTGCTAGGGGTAGGTAATGAGGGGGAGTAGGGTAGGGTAAGATGAATGGGGAGACGCGGCGTTGACGAAAAAGAAAAGGGTGGGTGGTTTGAGAACCGGTGTTTTGCCCAGAACAAGCCTAATTTTGAGGTCAGGGTCATCATAGTCATTGCAGCGACATTACTGGTCATTGGTGCAATGGTGGTCATTTGGATAGGGTGGGGGTTAGTGACAAGAAGTGGTAGGGGTTAGGACAAAATGTGCTGGGGGGTAGGGGTGATTATGGACTTACATGGGGTGGATCAACCCCTTGTCAGAAATACGTTAACATGGAGGGACGTTGTTCAAAATATTTATATATTAAAAAGAATTTCTGAAAGGAAGTGTTCTGGCATTTGTTTTTTTCGAATGAACTGAGGCCTTTCACTTTTACATTTCCATTAAATGGCCGATTTCCATGAAGTATATCAGTAATGATTAAATGTCTGTCTTTATTTTCAACTGTGCATGGGTGAAATAGATATGTGTATATTGATCAAGGGTCCCAGAGATCGATTAGTGCTCAATATATATTTAAAATGTTTTTTTCCTGGTCTTTCAGTGAAAGAGCAAAGTGGGGTAGGGAGTGATGTTTATCTGGGGTCGTGCTCACTAAGGGCACAGGGAGTCACCTTAACCCACCCCAATTCTCGATACCCCCTGTTTCCTCATGGAAGCTTGATAGGTGGGGGGGGAATTGCGGGAGTACTCTCACATAGGGCTTTGGGACTATCAGAAGACTTGAGAAATTGTCAACCTTGAGTCACCTTCTGAATGTGGTCAACCTTGTCCACACTACATCCCTTCACAACGCCCTGCAGTGAGTGAGTACCCCTAGTGGGACAATGCCACCCATACCACTGACCGGAAACATCATCAATCTTGATGACCCCACCCCTTTTCTCAACACATTACAGGGATACCTTCTTCCTACGCCCCTTGCTCATGCCGCCCCCATTCCACCCCTCCTGATGGTTCACACCCCCTCCCTCCCACCCCACCCCACCCCACCCTGCACCCTTCCCGAAGAGCAGACCTCCTTTATCTTCTGTCCACTCGCCGTGAGCATCCATCCTACAGCCACCTTGCCTTCCCTCCCACGCTCTGGGAACAGTTCCATCCCCTCGTCTGTGTTGACGCGTACTGGTTGTTTTCCACGACATGAAGTGAGCTCAGCATTCATTCATTTGTTGTATCTTACTGATCTTGTTCATGCGTACAGGTCATTCATGTCCATCAGAGGTATGTTACCTTACATGATGCTCATGGCATCCATTTCTGCCGCTGCCGCCACCATGGTTGACAGTCCTGAGGTTGGTGTTCCTTGGTTGTACAAGGGTCTCATCACCTGGGCCTTCTTCTGGGCTTTCCTTGACGCCTACACCATCGGAGCCAACGACGTCGCAAACTCGTTTGCCAACGCCGTGTCTGCGAAGACCCTTTCTTATCGCTCAGCAGTTATGATTGCATGCATCTTCGAGTTTTGTGGAGTCGTTGGACTCGGAAGCACAGTGACCGATGCTGTTCGCAAGAAGATGATTCAGGTTTCCTGGTTCGTCAACGATCCTTACATCCTGTGCCTGGGAATGAACTGCGTGAATCTTGGTGGAGGCACATGGGTTCTGGTCGCTACCATCCTTTCCATGCCTGTATCAACCACTCATTCGGTCATTGGAGCCATTCTTGGCATCGGAATTGCTGCCTTTGGACCAAGTGGAGTCAACTGGGGATGGACTGGATTCGGCGCAGTCATCGCCTCCTGGTTCGTCTCTCCTGCCCTTACTGGAGTGTTGGCTGCCATCATCTATTTGGCAACCAAGTACCTTGTGTTGAAGCATCCTGACGAAGTTGCGGCTCGTCGCGGTATCGCGATGTTGCCCATCTACTTCTTCTTTGCCTTCGGAACCGTTTCCGGCTTCTTCTTCATCGCCGGTATCCCTGCTTTGCACAAGACCTCCTACAGCATCACTGTTCCCGTCTCGTTTGCCGTTGGAATTTTCTTTGCCATCTTCTCAATTATCTTCGTGCAGCCATGGGTCAAGCGTTGGGTTCTCGATGGAGAGAACCTGCCCTGGTACACTCTCTTCTATCACTTCACCATCCCCAAGGGCGAGATGGGATACGTTGAAGACACTCCACCTGAGGACAAGAAGGGCAGCATGGAAGCAGGGCAGAATTTCGATCCTTCCATGCAGCAGCCAATGATGGTTTACAACAACTCCTTGCAGCCTGGAATGCCCATGATGCAGCCAGGCATGCAGATGCCTTATGTGATGTCTCAGAATGGCATGCCGATGCAGGTCACTGGAAGTGCTTTCGGGTTCGGCTCGGTCATCAAGCAGGAAGAGATCCGCGAGGACGATCCTGGCTACATCAAGTGGGGCAAGCGTCTTCTGCCTGGATTCTTCATGGATGTTGGAGCTCTTCGAGAGGAGGATGCGGCAATGCACGCCAAGGCCTTCCAAGCTTATTCAAGGACCGAGAACATGTTCAAGATGCTCCAGCTCACCACCTGCTGCTTCTTCTCCCTTGCTCACGGTGCTAATGACATGGCCAACGCCATCGCTCCCTTTGCAACTGTCTGGATGGTCTACAGCACCGGAAGGGTTGACACCAAGGCCGAGGTTCCCATCTGGCTCCTCGTTTACGGAGGTCTCGCGCTCGATGTTGGTCTGATCACCCTCGGATTCTACATCATGGACGCTCTTGGCAACCGCCTGACCCTTCAGTCTCCTTCCCGCGGCTTCTGTATCGAGATCGCTGCTATGTTCACTGTGATGACCTTCACCCGTCTCGGAGTTCCTGTCTCCACCACTCACTGCATCTCCGGTGCTACTGCTGCTGTTGGTCTCTGCAACGGCGACGTCGGAGCTGTCAACTGGAAGCTCATCGGCGTCATCTGCTTCGGTTGGTTGTTGACTTGCCCAGCTGCTGGTATCATCACTGGACTTCTCTTCTGGGCCGTGGCCGCTTCTCCCTCGCCAACTCCTGGCAATGGCTTCTTCTCGGGCTCCTATCACGGTTAAGGCTGAGAAGTTTATATGTAAATTTGTTTGCTTGTATTGAGAGTGTTTGCACTTGTAGTAGCAATAGTGCCTTTATGATATCCAATAAAAATGTTTTGACACACTTTAAGAATCACAAGTCAATACAACATTCTCCTCACCAGTTCTCACGGTTGCCGCTGACTGTGAGCCTAGCAGGTTTCCTGAATGTCGCCCACATGCCCTTGTTCGGGTCTTCGCTCATGCTGTTGGTGCAGATCGTGTTGTCCACCAGCTCCACCTCTGCATCCTCCTGCATCCACCGCCCTGCGTAGAAGGCGCCCAGCACGTTGTGCTGGAAGAGAGAGCTGTACACGGCGACCCGAACAGACCCATCCAGCATGATGCCGACATCATGGAACTGCACGAGGCAGCTCTCGATCAGTCCTCCTGCGAACTCGCTGTACCGGATGCCCGCCCCTCCCTCCCCCGTGTTCTCTATGGTGCAGCCGAGCAGGCAGCACCAGGACTCGTCCAAGCAGATCAGGCCCGTGTTGGGCTCTCCTCGGAAGGGAACCTTCTCCCCGGTGAACGCATGCTGCTTTTGGATCACCTTCACCTCCTCGAGGCCTCCGATGCCGCTCTCCACCACTGAGACGTCCGCCTTCTCCCTGTCAACAGCATCAGCATCTGCATCAGCATCATCCACACGCTCGTCTGTCCTCACATGGTGACCATGGCGGCAGTGGGGATCTCGATGGTGGACCTGATGTCGCAGTGAAGGATGCGCCAGGGTCCTCCTCGGATCAGCAGCGTCGCCTCGAAGTTCTCTTCGGCCGGGAAGCACAGGAAGAGGCCCCCGAGCATGCCTTTGGTGTACTCCATGAGCATAAGGAAGCCCCAGATGCGCGTGTTGAGCGACCCCTGCCCCACGAGCTCAAGCCAGCAGAGGTTGGGGACGTTGAGGCTGTGCTTGATGAAGTAGTCGCCCTAGTGGTCGTCAGTAGAGCATGAGACAGCAAGCACGTGGGACCGCATAGCAGAAGACCCTGCTAGAAGGATGATAGAACACTCCAGGCGGCGCTCGGGTCAACACGAGGCAGTCTGGCCCCCCCATCTCCGACTTCACCGGCTGCCGGGCAGTCAGGATTCCACGCTCAGCCAACGGCCCCGTCCTACCTCGCTGTAGATCCTCTGGGAGAAAACCTCGAGCGGCGCTCGGTCGGGGATGATACAGGGGCCTCGGCTCTCAACAGTGTCGTTGAGGTACTGCAGGAAGAACTCGTCGTCGAAGAAGTTGTACCTCGCCATGTACGCCTTCAGCTCAGTAATGTTGCGCGAAAAGAGACGAATGTACTCCTCTGTCGCCTGCAGGACAAGAGGGTCGGGATTCAGCCTGCTCTGGCTGGAGAGTTTGGGAGGAGCAGGATAGTCCGCAGGCGCTCCCGCCTGGTTGTCCCACTTCCACATGGAGGTAAGGTTCCCTCTGACAAGGCGCTCTCACTTGCACAAGCAAGGGAAGAAACAAACACTCACCCCTGCTCGAGGACGGCATACTTGACAGCGTCGTCGACGGTGTCAAAGTCGTCGGGTACTATGATGTCTGTATCGTTTGCCTCCTGCATCTCGAACTTGATCTGCGGTGCATGCATCGATTATGTGAAGGGAGCGGAGAGGAGACGAGAGGGGAGGAGGGGTGAGGAGACAAGGCGAGTGAAGGAGACAGAGGAGGGTTGAGAAGAGAGGGATAAGAGAAGAAGAAAGGAAGAGAGGAGAGGAGTAGAGAAGAGGAGAAAGAAATCGAATCACCGTTTGCTCGCTAAACTTGGGTCTGAATCGTTTGAAGAGCTCAACGAAAGTGAGATGATCTGTTCGGTCAAGCTCTTGCTGCGACTGCAAGATGAACTCCGTCAGGTTGTTGATTCCCAGTTGCCGTTCCACGTAGCTCGTGTCCACGTCAGGCTGTCCTGGTAGTCACAGGGAGCGCCGGGCAGGTCAAAACTCGTACGCTGATCGACGTCGCCTCAGGGTTGTGAACTACTCTATGACCATCCCACGCGAGGCCGGTCACTTCCAAGATCAACTCAGCCTACAACTGTGTCAGGCTTCCAGCGAGGAGGAGGAAAACCTGGCCCGGCATCTTCTCTAGGGAGCAGGGGCGAGGTGAAGGACAAGGAAAGTGGGAAGGGGCAGGAGCTACGCCGCACCTGGTACTGCTCCCACCACCGCTGCAACCAGGGATCCCTGAAGGCGACTTTCTGCGCTGGCAGGCCGATCTGACATCTTTCAAGGTCATGAAGCGAGTCATCGAGCCTGTTCGTGCTGGTGAGGGGAGCAAGGGGAGGGGGCGGTAAGCGACCACTCGGGCTTGAAGTCTCGGGCGTCAGGCACGCGATTGACGAACTCGCTGAAGATATGAGTCTCCGACTGTCAAGCATGAGAGGAGAGACGTCGATAAAGCTTCCTCACGAATGTCGGGTCCTCGTAGAGCTCTTTGAACTTGTCGATGTGATCCTGCCTCTGGACATGAATGCTTTCAGCTTTACGGCGATGGTATGGCAGAGAGGAGAGGAGAGGAGAGGAGAGGAGAGGAGAGGAGAGGAGAGGAGAGGAGAGGAGAGGAGAGGAGAGGAGAGGAGAGGAGAGGAGAGGAGAGGAGAGGAGGAGTGCGGAGAGGAGAGGAGAGGAGAGGAGAGGAGAGGAGAGGAGAGGAGAGGAGGAGTGCGGAGAGGAGAGGAGAACATGGATATCAGAAAAGAAAGGGACAAGACAAGGAAGGGGACAGAGCATCATCTCGTACCGTCAAAGAGTTCTGAAGAGCTTTGACAAGGTCCAGCTCCTTCACCTCCTGCGCCGTGCTCAGAACTTCTCGTTCTCACGATTCTTTGTAGTTCACCAGACCCTCGTCGGAGGAGGAGGAGATCACATTGGGATCGTAGCAGTACTTAGGGTAGCCATCCACCTTCCTCGGGGGCTAGCATCAGACTCGCGACAAAGTCGAAGAGAGAGAGGATGGGGGAGGAGGGAGGAGGAGTCGAGGAGAGTTGGCTCCTACTTGACGCTTCCCTCCTTGTTGTGTACGAAGGCTTCGTAGGCTCGTTGAGCAGATGGAGGGAAGATGTCAGCTTCGAGAGAATTTCTGCAAGAAGGGAAGTATGAGAATAATCTGACTGAAGATGCCTCATCTTGCTCTGCCGCCCCCTCCCCTGCTCCCCTCCCCTGCTCCCCTCCCTTCACAGACTTACGGTCGCGGGAATATGAGCGATCTCTGCAGCTTGTCGAATGCCTTCTTCTCGGCCTTGGCCATCTCATCCGGATCCATGTCCTTCCAGAATGTCAGTAGCAAAGATGCGAAGAGATGGAGGCGAAGAGGAGGACAGAGGGAGAGAGGAGCTTGGAGGTGGAGAGGAGGAACGAGAGGAGACTCGGGGGGGGGGGGGGGGGGGGGGAGGAGGAGGAGGAGGAGCAACGTTACCGTCCACTCCTTCATGAGCTTGTTGAAATGCTCGTCCTCGGAATCAGGGTCCAGATATTTTCCGATCCAACCAGACATGTTGTACTGCAAGGGAGACATCCTCAGCCTCTTGAGGCCAATCAGGGACTCACCTTCTCGATCTTTTCCAGCCGTTCCAAAGTCAAGTTGAGGCGTCTTCCTCCTTCCTGCTCCCAGCGTGAGGGGCTGAGGGATCGTCAAGGGCGCTGGTCACCCTTAGGATGTCAGGGTGGATGCAGAAGACAGGAGTGGTATCGGGGTCGCATTCCTGTGCAAGGGTGACGGGGAGCATCGGAGGAGAAGAGGCGGGTACAGGAAGGAAATCTTGGGTGTAGACGAACCCAGGAGGAGGTTTCGGACGGGTTCTGATGCAGGTCAGTCGTCGAGCACGTCAGGGTCACACAACGTCCGACCTCTTCGTGTTGACTCGCTTACTGGAACTCGAGGGAGCGACGTTAGAGCTGCTGCAGTGAACGTGTCGGTCAACCACAGCAGGGGAGCGTTCTCACTCGCTGAAGAGCTGCTCTTGATCATCGAACTATGATCATGTCACAACTTGACGGCCCCTCGTACCCCCCTCACCTCATCAACGCGAGGGCTACGGATCTCAGAGTCGCTGGAGTCTCTCTCGGGGTAGAGAGAAAGGTTCCTCGTGATCTCACTGTCGCTCTGAAAGATCTCTTCAAACTGCTTCTTCCTCTTCAGCGTCTCCTCGTAAGTCTCCGCCAGGCTGGATCGAGCAGGTGAGAACGTCCGCTGCAGACCAACCAGCTGCCGCCCCCGCACCAGCATTTCAACTTCTTCTTGAAGTTGTTCAGGTCTTCTTCTTCGTCCTTCTCAAACGTCAACGTCCGTCTCCACCACGGCAGCGAGATTACCTCGGTGTCAAACGAGAACTCGCCGTCAGTCTTCATCCGCAACTTGCTGTTGGAAGGAGGAGGAGAAGAATGGGGATCGCTCTCTGATGAGACGTCACTTGTGTCTTCTTGCTCGCTCATCGCACCTTGACTCTCTTCTCCGTCTAGGGTTCCACGGACAGCTGACACAAGTCACGTCTCAGCAAAGATTCTCGATGCTTTCAACAGATTCACATTGCTCAATGAAAGCATCTACAAGCGGCCCATGCTCCTGGCAGCGAAAACCGTGATGGGCCAGAAGAATTAGAAGAGGGGGAGAGTGAAGAGCAAAGATGTCAGAGGGATCAAGGTAGAGTTTGAAAGGAGATCTCAAATACACCGTGACATCGTCTTCGTTGTCTTCGTCAGCTTCTTGGGAGACAAACTTCCTCTTTCTTCTCATGGATTCCTTCACCTTTTTCAACTGATCCTGATACTCCTGGCTGACTGGAAACGAACGATGGAAGGGACCATGCGTAGCCCAGTCCTATCATGAACTTGAGCATCAAGATCGGAGAGAACAGTTGGAGAGAGCTGCAGGAGATGAGAAGAGAACGAGGGAGCTGCTGACATGGGATGGGCAAACAGCAGGAGGAAGGGAAGAAGAGTTTGTAGTCTCTTGCACCTCTAGAAGAGCTTCCCCTTGCCCACAACCCCAGCCAAATCCTTTCAAAGTTCCATGACAGAGTCTTCGGGTCTCTTCTCGCATGCCGATCTCTGTGGCAACAAGGTGATGCAGGACAGGGAGGATATAGCAGATGTGAGCGAGGGCGAGGAAGTGGACGAGGAGATGCAGCAGAAGGATGGGGAGAAAGGGAGGGAGAATTGGAGAGAAATCAGAGGAGGTAGACATTGGGGGGAAAGCAACCTGCTCTGGAGTGAATCAACCTATGGATGAGCTCGGACTTGGTTCCTCGAGAAGGAAGGCCGTATTCGCGACAGTATGCCTCGAGTAAGCAGATCATCCTATCAACCATCACGAGCCCATCTCAATGTACCTGCAGGTCATGGAGAGTCTTGTCCTTGAGCTGATCCAAATCAAAGTCTGGCAGCAGCTCCTCCAGACTGAACAAGCAAATTCACTCGAAGAGTGCAGCACATTGACCCCCACGTATCCTGTGCTTGGATCTGTCGCAGAGATGGACCTCTGAACCCAATATCATGGATCTGCACATGGCTACTGCTCGTCATGTTCGAGGCTGAGCGAAACCACAGGTAGGTGTCATCATACATTCAAGTCAGTTTTCAGCTCTTCACCGTCCGTGCCGTTTTGCGTCGGTGTAGAAGCACGACTATCGATCGCCGTGACGACCGCAAGCTGTTCGCCTTGGGGCTTCCTGCTGCTCTCACTCGTGTACATGTGGCTTTCGCTCTCCGACATGGCGCTGGAATTCCACCTCTTGGGCAGACTTTGCA